ATATATATATATATATATAAGTGAATTCGTTTGGTAAGAAGTCATCAAATTTAATACCGTTATAAGTAAACGATCTCTGGAAGATGGCAGTCTAGCGACGTGGCACATTGATTTTATTAATAAATCTGACATTCCGTGCGTGTACCGTCTCACGAAAAGCAAACCTTCTACTTAAAGATAAAGGTAGCACAGAGTTTGTCAGGACCTTCATCGCAAAATTACCCAAATGAAGTGCTCTGCGATTCTCCATTTTCAACCAATTAAGCTCTTTAAATGTGTGCGAGATATGGTCATATTTTCTTAGTCCTAAAATAAGGCGTGAATATGCATTTTGCACTTTTTGAATTATATTTTTGTCTGCTACATCAAGACAAGGGCCATAAATGAAATCATAGTTCTTGAAACAATAAAGCACAAGAGATTCACAGAGCATTCTACATAAAGGAGAACTAAGTATACGTCTGCTGTTGTATATCATTTTTAATGAAAGATATGATTTTTGAATTAGGATTTTAGTATATTCCCTAAAGCGCAACTCCGTATCTAATATAATACCCAAATTTTTCGCAGAGTTGATATCATGAAGACGAAGATCCACATTATCATCTAGAAAGTGCGAAAAGCATTAAATTAGATTTAAGAGGATTAAGTTTAAGGTTATGTTCTGAGCAAAGTTGTTTTAATATATTCAGGTCCTCGTTTATTAATCTAGATGCATTTTCGTAATCAGAGTGATTAAAGTGAAAATAAATCTGCGTATCATTGGCATTGGCCTGGACTTTACAGTGCCGCAAGGCCCTCAAAATATCAGCTATGTAAATAATAAAAAACAGAGGCCCGATGATAGATCTCTGCGGACCACCTGACAAATTCTGAACTCGTTCTGAAACCGCGCCGCTACACACAATCTTTTGAAATCTGTTAGAAAAGTAGGATATTGCCAGATCAATCGAATGTTCATAATTTTGGTAATAGAAGTGCGTGATTAACGGTATCAAAAGCCTTTGAAAAATCCACGAGTACGAGTGGAGTGTGCATTCTTTTATCAATAGCGGAAATTATATCGTCTGTTAAACCAAACAAAACAACCGAAGTACTGAAATCTTGCCTAAACGCACATTGACACTATTGTAAGACATTATTAACAATGCAAGAGTTAAATAGCTGTTTGTATAAAACTTTTTCAAAAATTTCAGAGAGAACCGGTAAAATGTTGATAATTCTAAGGTCATTAAAATACTTATCTTAGGTAATGCTTTCCAATGGAAGTTTCCCATTGATGGGGAAAATAATTTAACTCAATACAGCAGTTAATTATGTGCGTGACATATTTATCGATAAAAGGTGTGGAATGTTTTAACATTTTAATATTTATATTTTCCTCAAATGCGGCATCGGTGAATTATTTTGTGAATTATTTTGTGAATATCCGATATTTCTGCCATAACTATTATTTTTTTAAAAAATGAACTTTGGTATCACAGTCAGAGACACTTTGTACAATTTTGCCGACATATGCACTAATTTGATATGGATTTGGCAAGTCTTTTTTAGATTTTTTTCTCCACAAATAGTCTTTAAATAATCCCACTTCTTTCTTCGTACCACAGACACAGTGAAATTTCTTAAACTAACATTTATTTAAAAACACATTCCAACACTCCCCCTGACTTGCCCTACAGAGATAGAACAAACAGCAATAAACATAGCAGATATGAATTTGTCTCAGGTTTAACATAGTACTCACTTTAACTCTTTAGACTGTAGAGCTTTCTAAATTCACGATAACGATTGCGGTCTTTGGATAGTTGCACTCCATTTTGTGTTGTTTGGTCAAATGTTGATCGCAAAAAAATATCTTTCAACGTCTTCACGCGGCTTCCCCCGCCTTTCCGTTTCAGATTGATATGGAAATAATAAAAAAGACGGATTACGTGCCCCCCTATGAAAGGAACATGAATGGCCGCCGCTACGCTGTCGGTCCTTCGCCGCTTTACCAGAAGCAAACCACTTGCGGAAGAGTGCACGACAGAGGAGAGTGGGAGAGCCCAGTCAATGGTCGTAAGCCGACGACGACAACAGTGCCTGCCCCAACATTGACGTCGACGGACGGGAAACGGAAACCGAAAACTACCCCTGCGACGATGGAACTGCAACAACCGCTGGGCAGAAACAATAACGGCGGGAAAACGCAAAAGAGCAGATTGCCGTTACACCACAACAACCATCGCGTGGCGGTCAAAAATGGTGGCGCGGTGGCGGATCCTCAAAACCAAACCAAACCGCGTGGTGGTGTTGGTGGTGGTGTCGCTTCGTATCAACAGAGTGCGTGTTACGTCGCCGCCGGTACCAGTGTATACGGAGTGTTCGCGGAAACCAAGTATGTGTACGCTGCGGTCGGTGGGATTCCCAACGCTCAACAGGCGCAGGCTTCGGCTGCAGCGGCGTTTTTTGCAAGGTAAGTGGCTTTCTGTTCTTCCGACCGTGAGCGAGGTCCTTGACGACCTCGAAGAGTCCTGAAAAGTCATAGGTATCTAATTTTCCATATTGAGTGGTGGATATATTCAGGTTTCATATCAGTGGGGCAAACCGCAAAGCTAAGAGTGCACTAGTTCCGTTTATTATTATAATTCCTAGTAGTTCTTCGGAATTCCTTAATATTTTACCGAAATCCTTTGAAATTCTTTTTTTTTAATGAAATTGAAGTGTTTATGTAAATCTGAGATGAAGATGTCTATCATAGGGATATTGTCAACCATAAGAGATACGGAAATGGTTAATGGTGTTGCATAATTTAAAAGGTTGAGAAAACCAAAGAAAGCTCATCACTTCCGAAGATACAGCAAAAAAAAATCGAAATTTGCCGTACTAAATGCTAAATAGGTAGACCACGTCACATGTTAAATTACTTAAAAATACAAAAAACACTTCTTAACTATCGGATTTAAAACATTTCTTAACATATCAGTTGTAATGCTTTAAAAGGCTTGAAGACCTAGTCTCCTCAGTTAATCCTCAGTCTCAAAAATTCGTTGCTAAGTATAATTTTTTCACCATTCCTACATAAAAAATTCGAGCGGATTGAGGTCAGCCAACCGTAGTTTTTCTGAAGATTGTTCAATATCGAGCTCCGAGAGCTGTGGTTATAAAAATCTTTACCCACATATCAAACCCAAAATGATATTTTTGTCTAGATATTTGGTGTACTCCACAATTATCTCTTGCCCAATAAAGAGCATTTCGCAGTTAAAAAGTCCATTATTTGTTGCCATACTTTCATCCGACCAAATAATCTTATATATATTTTCTCCGAAGATATTTCCTAATCCGGGTTTATTTCTGGATAACACTGGTTTCAAAAACGCACCACTGTTTAAGATTTGTAGTTAATCTTCCAAAAATTTTATCTTGTTGTATTTTCGCTTGGTAGTTATTTAAACACATACGTGCGTCAACAGCGTTAGTATATCATAAAATATAATATTGTAGCATATGGAACTTCTCATTTTTTATAGTAAGAAAGAACCAACAGCAAAAAGACGCTGCAACAAAGTTAAAAAAACGACATGTCAATAAAATTATTTTGAAATTTTCTCAACGCCTACTACACCGTAATTTAAACAAAGTGGAACACATTGTTTTGTACATCCAAGTATTAGTCATAAAAAATGCTATTGAATGCATCATCAAAACTGCACTAGTTTTTTAACTTTTTAGTTTTCTCAAACTTAAAATTTTGCCACTTTTTTCTAAATTAACCTTCTTTGTTCTTTGATAGTTTCCAATATCCCCACGAAAAAAGTATTAATTATAACAATGATATATTACTATACTATATTACTCATTTCAGAAGTCAATTTCAAAAGCCAAAATAAATATGCAATAAATAAAATGTATTCAGTTGCACTAAAAAAACATACAATTTTTAATTCATTTGCTGTAGTGTTTCGAAAAACATATGCTTTTTTCATTGTAAAGTTCATATATTATTACATAGTTGGTTAGCTGACCTATAAATCCTGATAAAAACTATCTCGTGTAGAATAACTCAATCTCTCATTTCAAAAGCCAACGTAAATATACTTTAAATTAAAAGTATTTTTCTACTCCCGTCTGTAAAATACCTAATTACCCACCGATCTAGCGTGCGGCAAGCGTCGCTTTATCACGTCAGTTTCGTTTTGGGAGCAATCAGATGTTTTCGGCGATATTTCCCACGCTTTGAATTTAGACATTTGTCAATTCTGACAGTCATGTCAATGAATTTATTCTTGCTTTGCGAAAATGTACGCAAAAACTGACGGTCGTAGAAAAAGTATAGTATGCAACACGTTCGGTAAACTTTTTAACTCACTTGTTTATTAAAAGCTTGCTCCGCTCGTGTCAAATAAACTCCTGAGTCAAATGCCGTTTACCGCACTTGTTGCATAATATATTATTATTTGTGGCAACAAAATATACCTCTTCTTTTTAATTTATTTTTAGTTATTTTTTCATTGTAAAATTCGTATACAATTATTATATAGTATCTTGGTTAGTTAATCTAGATAAACTCGTGTAGAATAACTGATTTGGCAATTTCAAAAACCAAAATAAATCTACTTTAAATAAAAAGTATTTATTTGCAGCCACACAATAACAAAATATAAAATATATTATTACACAGTTGCTTGGTTAGTTGACTTAAATAAAAATTAACTCCGTGTAGAATTGTTGAATTTTTCATTTCAATACCGAGAATAAATATACTTTAAATAAAAAAAATATTTCAGCCTGTGATCTATCTCACCGCATTATCGGTTAGAAGTTCTTTTTTACAATGAAATTAAAAATTATAGTAATATCGAATATTACTTTCGAAACTTAATAGAACTGCATTATAAATATATTGTTTTTCCCAATCAGTAATTGCTATTTTTTTTGTGTCTTTTTTTTTTCAAAGAAGCTTCCACAGGCTACTGTAATACTATTTAAAAAACTTCTGGATTCTTCCTGCGTCGGTTGTTGTTGAGTTGCACTTGTTAATATGTCGCCATTCCATCCCGAGCTTAACTGAAACTGTTCAGTTAAGTTCTGAAGAAGCCAACAGGATGATTGGCGAAACGTTAGCAAATTCGGCTCCACAACAACCGACGCAGGAAGAATCCAGAAGTTTTGTTAATAGTGTTTTCCTTCATTCTTTTTTTCGTACTAAAGGTTGATCTATTGTTTTTTTTTTCTCGAGAAATATTTTATTTTAATCTATTTTAATGTAAGTTTTTTCTAACAAATATGTTACTTGGTAGTCAAAATACCGCAGGTTTTGCAAATATCTAAAAGGTACCATTCATATGGGTGTTATAATCGTTAACAATTTTTGAAGAAGGAATATCTTTTGAACTACCATCTTGTTATTTTTTTAATGATATACAAGATCAAAACATACTGATGAAAAGTGTGAATTAATTAACTATGAATGAATGAATGAATCAAAGTAGCAAACTGACAAAGTTGAAAACACTACCGCAAACATCCAATTGTCCTCTAACCCTAGAACACTGTTAATGAAATGACTCACGTCCAAACACTTTCTGTGCGTTTGATCTCTGCATAATCACATATTTTATAGAAGGAAATAGGAAAAAGAATTTCACCAACAAAACTACCATATCAGCTTTTTTAGTCAAAATTGAATGAGAAATTCGGAAATATTTATTATCTTTAAGAAAGTCTTTATTCTTTCAAAAATATTTAGTAGAAACCCCTCTGTCAATAGAAATATATCTAATCAAAAAATGATTTTTCATGCTTATATTCCTAGGAAGTTCACTGGAATTCTTTGGAACTCCACCAGAATTCGTTCATACTATGCGGAACCATTCCTCTGCGGTTTACACCTCAAGAAAAGCTTTCAAAAAGTCACTTAAAATATTATGAATTTTAGCTGTTGTAGAAAATAAGTGCCAATTCACAATTTCTTAGGGAACACTTATTTACTAAAGGAAGAAAGTCTCCTAAAAAGATGTATAATTTCGGTATAAAAAGTGTAAATTTTTTCAAACATAATACGAAAAAAGTTTGTCTAATAAAAATTCTCACAGCAGTTTCGTAAAAAAATATGTAAATTTCGAAAAAAAAAGTATTTATAAATATTATTTTTATGTCAAGGTCATAACTTTTTTGTCTACATAAAATTCATAGATTTACGAAATTTTGTAAAAAATTATTTTCATTTTTCGCACAAATGTTGTGCATTTTGTCAAAACTTTATAAGAAACAAAAAAAGTGTTTTTTTTTTCGGAAAATTCCGTTACAACAAATAAAAATTTGCTTCTTTAGTGTAATAGAAATTCCAGAAATCTTGAAGCTACTAATTTTTAAAATTCATCCCTAATATTGTAACACTGTGATATATGTATAATGTATAAAAAAAAACAATTTATCGTTTTTAGTCCGAGTCGCTATTTTTAGCTTATTAGTTCCGATATGGATCGTAAAAGAATCTGGTCCTAAAAATCTCGCGAAAACGAAACGCGCTTCAATAAAAAAGAGCTTTTTACGACTCCCGCCCCCACCTAACGGGCCGTTAAAACTTTACGACATATTTTTTACGGCGTTCGTTAGTAAGTTAATAACATGTCAATTGGATATTTCACGGTTGAAACGACCGGCCATTAATAAATGTCTTACAATAGTAATTGGCTATTTCGCCTCGCGCGCCAAAATTTAATCGATTGTTTAACAAATATCGGAAGACGTTTATGAATGAATACGTTATGGCCTAGTGGCGGATAAATCTTCACCGACAGCTCATCGCACTGGAATCGTTTTGCGATATTGTGCCGGTCGATACATTTCTTTTTATACATGCTGCAGCCCCGATCAAGAAACTTGAGAGACTGGGCATTATATGGCTCTCCACTTTGTTTGGTTAGAAGCCATCTTGCTTGTTAACTTAATGTTGTTCATGAAAATTGTTATTCCTGATTAGAAACTGGGACTTGGAGCCTCTCTACATTGTTGGAATAGAAGCTCAGAGAAAGGATGCGAATGGTTCATATTAACTACTTTACTGCTTCTCAAATCTTAGTTCCAGCTGGTTCTTATATTTCTTATTTCTTCTCTCCGCTGATGACTGACAGTTTTTCATGGAAATTGTTATTCCTGGCGTTTGCCTTGCACTTCAGGAAGACCTTGACAAGTGGACTTAGTGTGTCAAAGCGCAAAGTTATGAAATTCCATAAGAAGGAATGTAGGTGTTTTGTTGAGTTCTAATTTTGAATTTTCGTTCCATATCAGTACTATAATTAGCAAAGCACTTCGGATGTTTGGACTTGTGTAACATAAACAAGAGCTGAAGATTTTTGTACCAATTTGTGACATAACTCATCCACAATATCTTTAACTCTAGAAGCGATGGTACATATTTGATTTCAAGAATAGCTCCCATCCCGCACTACCCACATCTTTCAAACTCTT